ACTAGTAAAGTGAATTTGGAAGCACTATCAAGAAGACTTGATAACATGTTGCAAACCACAGCAGCCTCCAAGTCATTTTTCTGTACATAAAATGATCTGAATGAAACACATCCTGCTCAATCATGGCCATCAGATATCCCCTGATTATGTAGTATTACAAAGCATTTGCAACCCAATAACTGAGTCTAGAATTTCTATTAATGAAAATTTTGTTTGCTTATATTTCTCTTTCTTTATACCAAAATGTATGGACCATCTCTCAGTAAGCTGTGCATATTGGACAGGACAAAAATGGCATGAAATACTGTTTACTGGAATTTGTTTAAAGTACTGTAAAATTCCAGTAGTACTAGGACCGCCCAACCCCGAAAACAAATTACCCTCAATGAGCTTCCTAAATGTAGTAAGTCTCTTTCTGGTCTTCAACAATAATTAAAAAAATGAGATTATCCACTCTTGACTTCTAAAAACGATTTATCTAGGTTACGCATAAAACTTACATGTACACTTAGCAAAATCAGGTAGACTGAATTGTCTTTTTGTAACCTGCAGTTGTCGGCATGCGCTAATCACTTATTTTTTAAGCAATCTCAAGTTTATTAAGTTGAGTAATGGTGAATGCTCTTCTGTAGTCCTCTCAAGAATTATGTTGCTATTTACTGCTCCTCCGAAACTTTGGAAAGATATGAAGGCTGCCAGTGTGACCTCCAGCCATTGCACACTTAAGGATGACAATGCAGGTAAGTTTAACTAATCAAATTGCATCATTTGTATCAGTGAGCAAGTGAATTTATACTAAAATTCATTTTGATTACTAAGCCCTGCTACTTCTGGGGCTGTTTTATGTCCCTCTAAACATCATCACCACATGAGTTTTAAGTTGAATCTTTCGCTTACACTGGTGGAACACAGACTACCTAGCAATCAAGTGTTCTTGTTTTGTCTAATAGCCACTTCTCTGCAAAAACGAAGCCAAATTTCATATATTTGCCTTGTTTAACAAAAGAAATCATTCAAGCATCAACCTTTTGTTTCAGCTCCTTGTATTACCAGTTAAACAGGTGGCCATGATAACAATGACTAGGAGATTTTTTTTGAATGATTTTAGTTGTGACTAGAGAATTACTCACCTTGCTAGGACATAAGGTGCATGAAAACTTGTACATGAACAAACTGTAGACTGAAAGATGATGGGATTCTGAGCAAAACTTTAAAGTAAAACTACAGGTTACAATGCACAATCAACTAAAACTCATGTAAATACACACTGCATACCATTCTTGTACCACACCCTTCATCCAGGTGGACGTATGCTATCAGTTTACTTATGATATAAACTTTCTGGGTAATTTTAGCAATGATGCTTTAAGGTGTGAACGCTGGTGACTATCTGGCATAAGAGCAACTTCACGCCATTCATTGCGTTGTATGTCAAAACGCTCCACAGTTTTCAAAAAGTGTTCTTCATTTCTTCCACCAAATAAGTAAATTATGTCATCCATGCTCACAATGTCACAGGCAGCACGTGGAAAAGCAGGACTAGCAACCAGGCTCCACTCATTTGTGCGGGGGTCGAACATCTCACAGGAGACTTCAGTGTTCAATGAAGCTGACAAGTCACTGTATCCCCCGACAACAACAATTTTCCCATGGGCTGTTGCTGCAGCAGGAGACACGCGAGCTTTTGACATACTTGGAATTCCCTTCCACTGGTTGGTTGACGGGACATAACACTCCACACTATTATGACAACTTTCACCATTGTGACCTGCTATAACATAGATTTGTTTCTGCAGCACAACTGCACAATGAGCTGCACGACCTGCTTTCATTGGTGCCAACTGCTTCCATTCACCAAGAACAGGATTGTAGACTTGTGTCTTACACCAGCTATCCTCACCTCCTGTAACATACAGTAGCTCATCAAGACTGGTCACTACAAAGTCTTTGCTGTTGCTAGCCGTATATTCATCACTTGAGTTCCATTTCCTTTGTTTGGGGTTAAAACTCTGAACATATATAGAAGTATATCTACCTATCACCACATGCAAGAGTCCCCCACAGACTGCAGCATCAAGACTGTTACCGGAGTTTGGCATTGCAGGTAAAGAATGAAGCCATTTCTTTGTTGAGAGCACAAAACAGTGAGTGTTGTTTGAGGGTTTGTTGCTACCATTTGATAGTCCACCAGTGAGTACTACCACATCCTCATACTCCCCTAAAGACAAACGAGGGGTAAGCGAAGTGCCTTGGAATTGATCCGGAAACAGAGAGTAGTCCAGTCCACTGACTACAATAGCCATACAACTGGGGTTCCTCTTCACTAGCTCTTCCTCTTCAAGAATCTGGCGAAGACTGTACTTTGACATCGAGAAGAGCCTCAAACATTTCAGTAACTCGGGAAGAAAACTTTCTCTCGATTCCACGTCATGTTTAACCCATCTAATCATTGCTTCATAGACCTCTTCCTCCTGTGGTACGTTGATTTTGTCTTCACCAAGCAGTTCCTTCACTTTCCTTAGCTCGAGCGACTGGAAATCACTTGACTTCGCTACGGCCACGAAATGTTCAAGGGAGTAAGTGACTGCTGCTTGCTTTAACGACTCACAGCTGTACTGGGAGGCGAAGGATTCTAAAGCCAGACAATTGGAAACATTGATGGATTCTTCCAGGAAAAGCGAGGCTTTCGATTTCAGACTTGGAATTATCAAATAATCTGCAGCAATGACCACATCTTGTGCATTAGACGCGTTGATTGTCGCTTTACCAGTGTAAATAAATTGAAGAACCTCAGTCAAGGCATCAGATGTTACCTCTGTCAGCTGTATAAGATTGTCTTCGCTTTCTCTCACTTTCAATTCGCTTGTAAACAGAGCGCGGAAGTAGGGACTCCCAGCAGACAACACACATCGATGGGCAGGGAAGTCTTGTCCTTTAGCGCGAACAGTTACGTCGCACAGAAGGTCCGATTTCCTAAATTCGTCTAACTTTTGAATCAGTTCTTCTTTAACAACTTCGTCAAGTACTTGTTTTTGTTGCTCGTTCATCCCGGATGGCTATAAGCTGGTTATCTTTGTGAAAAAATTTTCGAAGGGATGCTACGAAATTTGTAAACAAGAACTTCCTGACGTCATGAGGTGGAATTCTGGGAAAGCTTCGAGCTCACGCCAGTCTATTTGGGCTGGTCACGCAATCTTTCAATGAAGGATAAACGCGTACTAAGGGTTATCTTAGAAGGGTCAGAAACCTTTGGAGCTTGAGCTGAAAAGAAGGGTTTGGCAGTGGATTGGTCGCACCCTCAGGAGACCTGACGGCAGTATAGCGAAGGCAGCAGTGGAGTGGAGCCCGCAGGGGAAACGAAGGAGGGGGAGACCGAGCCAGTCATAGAGGCGAACTCGTATGGCGGAGCTAAAAGAACAGGGAACAACTTGGGCTGCCGCAAAGAAAGTTGCGCAAAACAGGACCCACTGGAAAGCGATGGTTACCGGCTTATGCTCCGCTAGGAGCTCAGGAGTTTAGAGAAGAAGAAGAAGAGGAAGAGTTATTTTTGCTCAGAGGGTCAGACGCAGCACCGAGCTGACCCGCTCATATATTTCCTTATAAAAAAGCAACATGTTTACCTGAGTGATCATAAAATTTGTCACAGGGCCAGGCGTAATTAAAAGGGAAGGGGGCGAAGGGCCTATTAATTATTATAATTATTTTTAAGATTCATCTGTCCGGTTCAAGCCCTGTGGGGTGATGGGCCGCACAAAAGGGCCGCGGCCTGCTTGCATTCTAGTCGCGCTGAATAGCACTCCAGTTATAGGCAAAAGAGAACCGGCTTCCTAGTAACGAGGCTGTTCGTCGGCGCAGGAGAGTAGTCGAGGTCGCTCGAGATTATAAGGCTAAACAACAGCTAGAGGCGAAAGTTAAAGCTTTTGACACACTTTTCTCCGCGTTTGACCAACTATACTGAATAATGAACAAACTTATTTGATGGGTGAGTTGAATGGGGTGTGGAC